GTCGCTGCCCAGTGGTCTTTTTCCTTTGCATTTTGAAGGAGCCCCAGTGACAGCAGCTTCATGCAACAAGGCTTATGTCATCACTGCACATTTAGTTTAATACATCGGCTAAAAGGAGCAAGCTTCCACAACTGATCCACGGAAGCTTCAGAACTGACGAGGCTTCTTTACTTAGCTACAAAAAGTTTCACACTGATTCGTGGAAGGTGTGTAATCGCTGTTGCTTGAGAAGAAAAAACTGAGAGGATAAAATTTTTATTGAGTGACAACACGGTTTGAAGCGCCTACAGCTGATGTATTAGTCTAGAAGTAAATGTCTGTAAGGCATTCGACGAGAACCAGAACTTTCTCAATTTGACGGCGACGGTCAATCAGACTGGGGACAATAAAAGACACAACAAAGGTGCAAAGACTGCGCTGGCAGTACAATCCACTGGGTACCTTGGACACGCATGGTACTCGTAGTGATGTCCAGCTTCACACACCTCACCACTGATTTATACCTTTGATAAAATGCACAGTTGGAAGATGGTTCCTAGTAATCCTGGTGTTTTCTGGAAGTGCATTGCACCGCACAATAAAGTCAGTTTAAATGGATAGATTTTGCAAAAACTGAACCTCGGTCCGTTCGGGTCGGCTTGGCTCGGCCGGCGCTATACATGATCTGTGGGAAATTTTTTCAACCGATGCAGGTTTCCTAACCCCACCATTATGCAGGACATTGGATGGCGGAAGTAGAGTGGATGTGAGATGAGAGGGGGCGGGGGTAGTTTGGCGGATTTCCTGCGCGGGGATTTGGAGGGAGAAAGGATTTGGGTGGGTAAGTTGAATGATCGGTTGCCTAGGCCAGGTAAGGATAAGCGGGAAGGAGGAGGGGCCGTGCTGCTGGTTTTTGCCGTGAGCACCCGCGGTGGGGAAAGGGGATGGGTGAGGGGAGGGGAAGAGGAAGGCTGCAGGGACCACAGGGGGCGGAGGAGGGGAATTTGGCAATGCACAAGGACATTTTTTGATGTGAAGTTTGCCGCAGGGGGAGGGGGTTGGGATGGGTGTGGAGAGGATTTGTACATGCAGGTTTTGCGCGCGGGGAT